GGGGTGGGAAGTGCTGCATCGTGCTCTGCCTCAGAGGAAGGTGGAGTGAAACGCTCAGAGTCAACTAAACACCAAGTGAGATGTTAGGTTAATGGCTGGACTGGATGATCTTAAAGGTCTTTTCCAACCTAAATGATTCTATGATTCTATTCTATAAGGGGAGAGGAGGAACATGTTCCTTCATAGTCCCCACCGTTGACTAGTGGAAGCCCCAAAGCACGAGATTAGTGCAAGGAATACCACTCCTGGCTGCTTTTGAACCCCGCGTAGTCTCCAACATATAGGAAACCATCTTTTTTGAAGGATTTATGATGCTGCCCCATCTCTGCTCCAGGCAGGGGCTAACCTCTGTGAGCCTCTGTGCTGTTACCAGCCAGGAAAGCAGGGGGAATGGAGATGTGGGTGTCCAGAGATCTCTTCTCTGGAAGGACCCTCAGCATGGGGGATTTTTCACTGTAGAACCTTCATGCCTCCGTGATGGACATTGATTTACGTCTTCATGCTTCTACTTGCTCTGAGGTATGAGCAGGGAAAAGCACGAATGATAAAAATGTAGGAGCTGCCGCCTCCTCCTCCCTGCAGGAAAATGAAATTCAGCCTCAGCTACAAGGGTTCCTCTCCCTCCACCTTAGAGGAGGCAGGAAAAAAAACATCTCAGAAGCTTGAAATATTTTGTGAGGGTTACCGAAAGGGTATGTCCAAGAAGCAAGACTTAGTGCAGAGCTTACTCAGGGTCTGCATTGCTGAGCACCCCAGGGGCTGAGCGCCGGGGCTGCAGGGCTGACTCTGTACCAACGGGCGCTTGCTTCAGCTCCAACCCCGCAGACCATGGGGAGAAAGTATGTGACTCCAGCTGGGCTGGCAAACGCAAGCCGGCGTTGGAAGTAACAACTGGTAAATGGACAGGGGACCCAAAGCGGTTTGCAGGGTTGGAGTTGTTGAAGCAACACCGTAGAAGTGCAGGGTGAGACCGGGGAAAGTCCCGAGGGGTCTCCTTCAAGCCCTTCACCAGCTCTCCCTTGAGTCGGGCATGCAAAGAGAAACATGGGCAGTTGGTGTGATCACACTGAGCAGCAGCTCTCCTCGCCCCCACTGCGGTACTGTTAAAACAAAATTATAATTCATTTTGACAGCTGCCAAATGAGCAGCATATTATGCAGCATATTCAATTAGACAAGTTCCCGAGGGAGCAGGCAGAGGTAGCGGGGCAGCCAGCTGCTGCTGGGACACGACATGGTGCTTCAGGAAGGTATTTTTAGAAATGGATGTGCATGCTCTGCAGAGAAATAAACAGCCCTTTGGTCAATACTGGCAACTATTCCCCATCTGTTTTCAGAAGATGAGAACATGCTTAAAAAAAAATAAAATGAAAAGGTGGAGCTGCTGGATTCGCAGCGGTCTCACCAGCATGTCAAGCCTCTACCCACGGTTTCCAGCTTCTGGGGCCCACATGAGTGGGTTTAGTGGAAGAGGGAGGCAGGGAGATGAAGGTCAGAGTACCAAACCATTTTGCACCCATTTTTTCATAAATACAGCTACTAATTTGGGGAATGGGTGCTAGAAGATCTGAGCCACCACGTATCTCCTGCTGTCATCTTCTACCAAGCCCACAGCAGGTTGCCCTGGCTGCCTACGCACTCTGTGATTGTCCGTGGAGCATCTTGGCCTCGAGCAGTTAAAATGCTCAGCAGATTTGCAGCAGCAGCTATTTATGGACCTATTCTGCAGCTCCTGGAAGTCTTCGCTGACCTGTGCATCAAACTTTTAGCTAGCAAACTTCATATCCTCTCCTTTGGGCACAGGTCTGTATTAAAACACTGTCCTCTTATGTGTAAGAAACCTGTCATTCCTTAATTCAGTAGCTCCTTGCCCTACAGCATCTGTGTTGTAACTCCTACCACCTTGCTGCTGGCCTGAGGGAAGAATCAGGATACAGCAGGTGCCCTTGACTTCCCGAAACACTTTTGCGTAAGTGCAGTCTCCTTTCCTTCACCTCAAAGACCCGGCATTCAAGCAGAGACGCAGGACTCCTGGGTTCTGACCCAATTCCTGTAAAAAAACCTCATGAGATAACACAAACCAGTGGAATTTCTCTCTGCCTTGATTTACCGATGTGTAACACGGGGCTATGACACGGCACGTGTGATAAGCGCGTGGCTACATCCTCCGGCTGGTAAAGCTATTTACATTCACAAGGCAGCAACCACCGTTACTGATTTTATTGAATGTTGAATGTTTAATTTACAAAAAGGAAATTAAACAGCTTGTTATACTCCCCTCTGTAAAATTCAAGACTCAGAGACTTGTTTAACTATGACTAACTTAAGGTGTTACTCTGCTGTAATCCAAACACACTTCCTGCCAATAAAAACAGAGTTCCCTGAAACAGCCCCGCTTTTATCTGCCAGTCTATAAATATATAGGCACCAAGTTACAAGTTCTGTACTTTCAGCCAAAAATAAACGCTCTAAACTAAAAACAACGAACCGCGAAGCTTCACAATCTGCTAAATGAAATGTAGATATTACATATCGGCAAGCCAACGGCTCTTCTGCCTTCAAACTCGGCCACGCTTCAGGGTGCAGCAGACAAAGGGCAGGTCAGCGCCGTGCAGTTGTGTTTGGGAGCCTCGCAAATTGGGTTAGCAATTCCATCTGTGGTCTGCTGGGGAGTGGGAAGAGAGCAAGTGAGAATGTGTGGCAGTAAAAGCTTAGGGAGGGAAGAAACAGAATATTTTGCTGAATTGACTTCAGCACATTTCTAACCTAAGCTCCTCCCTGGTATTTTTAAATTCCCACGACCTACGTCCGCAGAAGGTCCTTATCCCCTAGACCCCACTGAATGTGCCACATTGGGAAGTATTTGAAAGCTCAGAGCCCAAGAATTGATTGCAAAATAGGACAGTCTCTTCAAACATTATTGTCTGATATAAATGCAAGTAAGCTAACTGATACCCTGGTCACGGAAGAACAAATGATTTCTTTTTCCAACTGGGAAATAAGAGTAACATATTTATACTCCACCTGTATGCTCAGCTCTATATAATCAAAATAGAGATACAATTCCTGCACTGGAGAGCTTAACATTTAAGACTGTTCCTGTAAATATGAGTAGTTTGAATCACTGTGCGCACTTGCTTAAGATGTACAAGGCTTTTGCAGGATTGCAGACTTCAAGCGGAGGAAATTCAGCACAATTCAGGGATAACTTGGCATGTTTTGTTCGGGCTTACACAGAAGGCAGTGACCGCTCCAGGGGAAGAGTGGAGGGCTGGGGCTGAATGTGGAAGTGGGCTTGGCTTGGAGAACTGGGCAGGAATGGAAGCAAAAGGAAAGAGACACTGACATTGACTGGGGTATCACCCAACACCCACCGCCCTTATTTCCCAGACGTACAGACTGCAACGCAGAGCAGAGGCCTAAACATGCGTTTCTGCATTAGTGTCCAGGAGAAAACCAATTTATCTGCACTGACTGTGCTACCTTCCAAATTTAAGTGAGGAGGTGTGATCACCCATGGCCCTGCTGTGTATGAACCACGAGGTACCTTGTACGTATTCATTAACCACGACACTGGCAAAACTACCATCACCTGTAAAACAGCAAAAAATGATACACGGATCAGCATCCACGTCAATCAACCGTGCTGCCAGCCATAACAGCCAGGCCAGCTTCTGCAAAGGCATTTTACAGAGGCAAAGCGGCGGTGCAGAGCCCTGTGGGATTTGCTGAAGAAACTGCGGAGGTCAGGTAGTTACTCAGTGGCGGTCAGGAACCCGCCTCGCCGAACTGCTTTGGCAAAAAACCCACTAAGGCTGAAACTGCAGCTTCAGCTGCCTGAACTCCTTCTGAACCCAGGCCACAGAGCAGCCTTGCTTTTTGTTCTGCCAAAATCAATGATAAAACACTG